TGGGGCCCATGACAGCCCATCTGCTGGCATGATTAATTAAAACCGTGACTGCCGAAGGAGGCGCCATCTCAGGACCGGGAAGCAATTCATCTTCCAGCCAGTCATTGCAGATGGTCCTGGAGAGTCAGACGGCAGACAGAGGACAGGATCTGCATGGACAGCCCGACTGCCTTACTCTCCGCTACATTCTCCGCAGGGGCTCCTTCCTCCAAGAAGCTCGCTCCCCCTACAGAAGTAGGGGCAGAGGGCCGAGAACTAGACCCTGAAATCCTCTAAGGGGGCAGGAGAACATCCCACAGGCGGGGTAGTGGTGGGGTTCACAGGAAGGTTTGACCCTGTCTTTTCTTGTTCCCTGTGCACAAGCACTGTATATGTCCCACTTTCTGTCTCCACACGGAGACTTAGCATCTTCCTCTCTCGTTCTCCTGTCAGTGTAGAGGCAAGCGTGCTAGGTAAGGCTCAGCCTCAACCCAGGCTCTGCAATGAGTATCAACCAGAAGCCCTGAATTGAGGGGGGAGGGGGGGGGACTGCCTACTTTCCTATTGGCCAACAGGGCTGCTACCTTGAACCCCAATTGGCTGTGATCGTGGTGTGCTAATCCCTGTGGTTATGACCCAGAGAAGAAGGAAGGTCTCAGATTCTGAGAGGAAGACAGAGGCCCCAAAGGTCTGTCTTTGGGGGACCCGCCTCCACATCATAGTAAGCTTCAGCATGGGCCTCTCAGCTGACCCAGCCAAGTGAAACATCCCTTATGTCCCTTTCTGTGGCCCTAACTCAAGACGAAAGGGCCATCAGTCTTCCACCTCTCCCTTCACATGTCCACACCTGCTCTTTTCCAAACAGCAGACTCACTGCCATCAGTCAGTTCGGATGCACTGCGGCCCTCCAGGACAGGGCAGAACGGCCGGCCCGGGTGAGTGTCCGCGCAGGGAGCTCTTGACTTGTGAAACACGCCTGTCGTCTGAGCCTGCGCATCTACTGCCCTTGAAAGCCTCCTGGCTCCATCATGCACACCAAGGTGGACATCGCTGCCAGCAGTTTCAGACAGTACCTTCACTGGGCCCATCTTCATTTTAACCTGGTCCGAGCCTTGAGCTGTGGGAATGAGGGAGGTGTTGGGAATGGGACAGGAATGGCTGAATGTAGGGACCTTCTAGAAGCAACCTTTTATGCTAACACATTAGACAAACACTGTATTTACTGTACAGAAGCCGTTTTTCAGCACACTTTTCATGCAGTTTTGTGGTAAAATTAGGTGCCTTGGCTGATATTCAGGTTGACTTACACTCACGTATATATGGTGTCTTTCTTCTAATAGAACCAAATCACCCTTGACTAGAGCCGCATGTGCCACCAGCTTGTCCCACTCTGACCAGGAAGGAAGGGGAGTGCGGGCCCCTCGGACGGGTGGGCTTGTCGTGGGAGACTCGCAGCACTCACAGGTGTCAGACGGAGAAGCCGAGAGGGGAGCAGGCCTGTGGATTAACCCACGTACACACATGGTGGCTTCCAACCCTGTACTTTCTGACACCATGAGGTGAAGAGGAGATGACGTGGGGATGGGAGGGGTAGGCTAAGAGAGTGGGGCAGTTACATAATCTACTGTCAACTTGAGGAAGGGGTAGAGTCTAGCCTGTCCATCAGGGAGCAGCTTGATGACCTCATTTGGAGGCGTGAAGGAGATAAATAGCTCATTGGAGGCAAGACATACTCTCTGCTACACATCCCTGTTGACAAGCCACATGGAGCTGCACTGAAAGAGCTAGCACTCTGGAGCTGGAGGAGCCCTGTGGAGACCCACGCCGGTGCTGAGATGCTTCCACCACCACTGGATCCACAAGACTTTCCACCCCCTGGCCTGTGTTCTTCCTGCATTCAATGTCATTGCATGTGTTGTGCGAGTCTGAAAAGGAATTTATAGACTGGTATGGGACATATGGGCTAATACCGGATTTATGGACTTGATCTGGATTGGGCTGGGCTATTTTCTCAATATACAATTACTCTTTATAGAAAGCTTTTTATACACCTATGCGTGTCTATGAATTCTGTTTCTCTAGTCAACCGGGACTGACACAGGGAGCATAAACAAGCACAGCCAAGAGAGGAGAGGATGGGCAGGGTCATGAGCCATTCATGGGGGACACTGACTCACACCACGAGATGGCCCGAGGAGGATGCCAGTTCTGCATGCCCCACAAACCCACCTTGCCGCCGGAAGGAAGTCTCCAATCCCTGCACCTGGTTCACTTACATCCCCACTTGATCTCTTGTCCGAATGGAAGTATAGTGGCAATGTCCACCAGATTGCATGGGCTACACATTTCTAATGCTCATGAGGGTGGGTGGGAGGGGTGCCGGGAGGCTGCATGCTTACTAGGGATGCCCACGGGTACTCTGAGCGCGCAGGGCATGCTAGGGCCTCAGCAACTGTCTGCTTATCGATGTGCCTAGAAGGATGCCTAGCATATGCTGACGGAATGAGAACCGACTCTCCCCCAAAGCAATGGGTCTCTATGTAGCCCGAGTGCTCCCCACTTCCTACCAGGCACCTTTGCTTTGCTTCCTGTCAATCCAAACCACTAGCCTCTCCTGAACCCCATCTGAACCCTGCGATGTCCTCTGAGACATGCTCTGGCTCTGCCCCTCTTTTAAATAAAATTCTTGTTCCGTTCATGGTCCATCCCAAATGCCAACTCCCCTGGCGGAGGGGCCTCAGTGACCAAGACTGAAATCGTCCTCTCCCTTGGGCCTCTGATGCCTTGCCCATCCCCCTCAGGGATGCTGACTGCCTGGCACTCTTCCACTTAAACACTCGGCTAGTTACCGAAAGGTTGGCTGTCCCAAGCCACAGATCACCATTCGAGAGAACAACGTGGCTGGCTTGCTCCCAGAAAGGCTGACAGTCCTGGAAGACAGTTTTACTCTGCCCTCCCGGGTCTCCATGCGTCAGACATGGACCGACAGCAATGGGGCGGGTTTGGTCTCTGGAGTTTTTCTCCACTGGCCTGAAACTTCTGGATGGCAATGAACGTAACAAGGGCTTCAGGCCCTCTGGGTGCCCGATGTGCATTTAATCCATGGGATTTTGTAGACCAGGAGCCTGGTCACGTGTCGTGGAGTTGCTTTGGTGATAAATAAGCTCTTGGAAGCCTCACGATACCCACACAATAAACAGGAAAGAACAGGGTCACGTGGAACCAGCTACACCCCTGGCTACATGGTCCCTTCCCTCACAACATCCACAAAGGGATGAGTAAAAAGATACACACAAGTCAGTCATACTTGCAGTTTGCTTTAAATGCAGACCTGCAGCGCCCTTCTGCACCACTGGGCAGCCCGACCCCTCCCTCCCACTTCCAGGAGATGGACACACGTCTCTCACCAGCCTCACAGACGGCATGTCTCATACACACGCTTTCATTTTTTATATTTATAGAAACAAGAGGAGGGCCATTATTAAAACATTTCAGGTGCTGTTTTAGGAATCTTACAAGTACAGACACGCTCCCCAAAGACCCGCTTGCTCATGTGTGTGTCCATCAAAAACCTCCCCGTTCTTCTAACTCCACACATTTCAAGCCAACGTTAGTGGCCCAGACAAGGAATGTGTACAAGAATGTGTGCACCCTGGGACACGGGATGCTGCTGTGCCCGTGTGCGCCTATGTGATTGAGGATCTGAGTCTGTGTTTACATACAGCTGTATGTAAAGACAAGGAATCATTTTTGTCTCTGCACCATCACACGCTTTCTGTACCCATCGCTGACACTTCAGGTGTCCTCTCTGCTTGGACTATTAATGAGATCCCTGCACTTCCCCGGCCTCCCTTTGCCAGTGGGCGGATGGCAGCTTATGAGTGATTAAACCTCATCAGGACACTAATCAAAGTGGCCCATAAAAAGGTATCTAGCCCTGACACTGCTAGAGGACCCAGGACCCAGGACAAGGGGGAGGGAGCTCTTTAAACAAAGGAGCCAGGTGGAATGACACATTGTGGGGTGACCTATCTACTGATGTTCTAAGACTTGAGCGCGCGCACACACACCACCACATCTTCTCCCATCTAGAACCCAAGCTGTCTTTGCGTTTGTTTCCCATTCTTCAGTTTCTGCCTCCACCGTCTCGAGGCAGCTGTCCATTTTGTAGGTGGAAAACAGATGGCCTCTGGCGGCGATGCATCCTGAAAGCAGAGCACGGAGGGAGAGGCAGTTGGCTCTCTGAGAGCCCTTGTTTATGAGCTAATCTGTCTAGTGGATTAGTGGGCAGAGCAGGGTATTTTTAAAGCCAGGCAGATGTTGGTGTGGGGGAGGAAGAGATATGGAACGAGAGGGGCTAGATGGTAATGGAAAATATTTACTGGGCACCTAACCGTGTGCCAAGTATTCCACGTGAATCACGTCACTTCACCTCGGCAACCTTGTGAGGATGATTAACAGATGCTGTTTCACAGTTTATGTGGCAGTTGCAGGAACTGACGGTGATGGGGGGTTGAGTAACTTGGCCAAGGTCGTGTGGCAGGAAGATCTGGGAGGACCGAGCATGAGGGAAGATGGGAGGAGTCGAAGCAAGGATGGTGAGACTGTGGCTCGCTTACCTGAACATGTCATTTGGAAAGATCCATTGCTAGCCAATGACATCAGGTTTGATGCAGTCGAGGTTTGCTGAGAACAAATGAAGCCCTCAGTGAGACGGACTGACACACAGCCACGGCAATGGGCTCCAATGTGGCTGCAGGCAGGACGTCAGCACTGGACTCAACAGGATTTCGTTCTGTCGGGGTACAGGCTGCCCTGTGTGGGCACCGAGTAGACTGCCAGGAACAAAGACTAAGGACGCTGGGCACCTTGTCATGTGCTTACTGCCTGTCCGTGCACATTCTCTGAAGAATGTCTATTCAAGTCCTTTGTCCATTCTTAAAGTTGGGTTGGTGTTTTGCTGTTGAGTTAAAGGAGTTTTTCTTGTTTGTACATAAAAAGGCTTTATTTGCAAGGCAGGGTTAGTCAAACAAGCCAAAGCCCACATCGTCACCTGGCTCCTCAGATTCCTCCTCCTTCTCATCTTTCTTCTCCTCTGCTGCAGCTGGGGCTGAGGCGGCAGCAGGAGCAGCTGAGCCCGGGGCAGCCGAAACGGCCACAGCACCACCCGCAGGCACACTGGCAAGCTTGCCAATACCCTGGGAAATAACGTCTTCACTGTTCTTCCCGTTCAGCTCATTGATGACCTTGTTGAGCCGGTCGCCATCGGCCTCGATGCCCACGATGTCTAGGATTTTCTTGATGTCTTTGGTGCTGGGGGACGCATTGTCCCCGAGGGTGGCCAGCAGGTAGGAGGCGACGTACTGCATTCTGAAAGGTGGCAGAAATGTCCCAGCGGCCACGTTACCCGAGGCCTCTACTCACACCCATTCCGGCCGACCTAAAGGAGTTCTTTATGTCTTTAGATATTAAGCCCTTATCAAATATATGGTTAGTTACCTTTTTCCCTCTGTAGATTATCCTTTCATTTTGTAAAGCCCTTTGATGCTAGACTTCTTGTCGTTAAATATATACAGTGAACCCTCGTTTATCGCGGTCAATCGGTTCTAGACCCTACCGTGATAAATGAAATTTCCGCGAAGTAGGATTCCTTAGTTCTAAATCAAATATTTTCGTAGTTAGAGCATAGAGGATTGCAGAAGAGGATTCTGGTTGAGGTTTGTCTGCTGTAAAACGCTGATAGAGCTGCCTTGCCTTCTCCCGGATGACTATCGAATCCAACGGAATGTTTTTCTTGCGCCTGTCATTGATCCAAACGGCTAGGACAGACTCCGTTTTTACTATGAACTTATTACGACTTGTCACGATGCGCTGTGCTTCCTTGTTGAAAGTGAAAGTAGCCGTAGCACGGATGTTTTTTTCCTCTTTACGGATGGAGCGAACGGAAGACTCATTCAAGTCGAAATGGCGTGCAACCTCCACGATTTTCTTGCCATCTTTGATCATATCCAAGTTTTACCTTTTCCTGGATGGTGAGCATCTTCCTCTGGCGCTTATTTTTATTGTCAGAAGGCTTAGAAGCAGCAGCTCGTTTAGGAGCCATCATAGGGCTTAGATAAAATTTCTTAAAAATCGCAAACAATTACAGTACACTGTACAAAAGCAAAAATGCATCTGATAGGTAGCTCTGATACGTAGCGATGCAGACAGAAGCGTGTACAGTATGAGCCAATCAGTGGCAGTAATGACAGAGCATGCGCTGTTACGCAAAAACCGCGATAGAGTGAAGCCGCGGAAGTCGAAGCGCGAAGTGGCGAGGGTTCACTGTATATACTTTGTTTTTAATTTTTATGTTTGATAAAGTCCCGTTTGTTGCTTCTGTTTTGGGTGTTGTATCTTACAGTTTGTTGTCAAAAAAAGGTCTTAAGGCTTTTCCCATTGTCTTCCCGCCACCATCTTTATCATGTTAATGGAAAATCACTGTTGTTGCAAAAAGAAAAAACACTTCTGTCAATGAGCAGAGTAGCATGGCTTTACGTTTAGTACCTGGCTTCAGAGGATGGCGCCCTCTGCCGGGATCTGGATCTGACCTGTTGCCCAACCACACAGGAGTTTGTCCTTTTTTGCTGTCTCACAAGCTACCACCACCTGAGTGGCTTAAAACAGCACACCTTTGCTATCTGACTCCATCTCTGGGGCAGGGATCAGCTGGGTTCTCTGCTTCAGAGTCTCTCGCAGGGCTGCATGCGGATGTGGGTTGGGGCTGAGGGCTCATCCGTAAGCTGGACCGGGGAAGGAATACACGTCTATGCCTCTAGGTTCTTCACACGATTCAGTTCTTGGGAGCCGTGAGCCTGGGCGCCTCAGCTCCTCCTAAGGCCACTTTCAGTTCCGTGGCCTATGAGCCTCTCCACATGGCTTCTTGGATTTCTCCCTCCACACTAGAAAGCACATATGAGATGGCAACAGAGTCGGCTAGCAAGGCAGCAGTCCACCTTACGTAGCCCAATCACAGAAGGGACAGCCCATGATTTCTGCCATATTCGCACGGCAAAGCAGCGAGCCGCAGATCCTCCCACACTCCATGGGAAGTTGAGGGGGAGCGTCTGTGGCAACACCAAAGCCAGAATTCCAGGCAGCAGATGGTGCCTAGCACACACACCACGCAGCCGTGGGGAAACCCCACTGTATAGTCTTCCATAGTGGGCACCTGGCGTGCTTCCCCGCCTTGGTTCCTTTTATTATAGTAACAGCACGTGACTTCCATGGGAAGGACTACCTCTTTCGGGCGCACAGTCTAAGATCTGTAAGAGCCATACTTTCTTTATAGAGCTATAACATCTTAGTTCTTATACACAGGTCACTGATGCATTTCACATCGGTGGGAGGTATGGGCCCAACTTCGTTCTGTGTAGAGATGCAGCTGTCCCCAGCACCAGTCACTGAAGTGACTATCTCCCCCTGAGAATGCACTCAGAACCCTTGTCAAAAGTCAACTGTTTACAGATATGAGTTTATTTCTGGGTTATCAGCTTTATCCCATTAATCTATACACCTATCTTTATACAAGTACCAACCTGTTTTGATTACTATAGCCTTATAGAATGTCCTAAATTCAGGAAGGGAAAGCATTCTTTGTTCTTTTTAAAAGCTTGTTTTTGCTATTCATGACCCCCTACAGTTCTGTATGAATCTGCAGATCAGCTTTTCCATTTCTCCAAAAGAAATAAGCTAACATTTCAATAAGAATTACATTAAACCTGTAGATCACCTTGGGTATATTGAGATTTTAATAATATTAAGTCTCTAAACCTATGAACACAAAATGTCTTTTCATTTATTTAATTCCAGCATTCTTTCAATGTTTTCATAATTTTCAGTGCACAAGCCTTTCAACTCCTTGGCTAAGTTTATTCCTCGATATTTTGTCCTTTTCGATGCTAGTATAAATGGAATTTTCTTAATTTCTTTTACAGTTTGTTCAGTGCTGGTATAAAGAATCAACCAATTTCTGGGTGCTGATGTTGTACACTGCAATTTTGCCAAATCTATTTATTTGTTCTAGTAGCTTTCTTTGGACTGTTTGGAATTCTTACAACATAGGCTATTTTCAACCCTGATGCCTTTTATTTTTCTTGCTCAACTGTTATGTCTGGAACTTCTGACACAACTTTGAATAGAAATACAATGACTAGCAGTCACCTTGTTCTTGATCGTAAGGTAAGCTTCTGTAAATGTCTTTATCATGCTGAGGAACCTCCCACCAGCATTTGATGACGGTAGTAGTGTTCAGAATGGCTTGAGATTCCTTTACCCCACAGCTACTCACACCCACATCCTCAAGGGAGCAGAGCATGCCTCTCAGTTCTTTTGAGCTCTGAAAACCTCAAGCCATTATTCATGATTTTGAATTATATTCCCCCTTAATAAAAATCATCAGGATTGGATTATTTCTATACTATTTTGCACAGGAAATCTCATATCTTAGCTGATCCAAAATAGAAACTTCTCAGAGGTGAATACATTTTTCACCCTCTTCATCTGGCAAACACTGGCACACAGTGTTGACTGAGACAGTTCTTGGGTGTTGCTAAAGCTACAGACATGGCTGGACAGCGTACGGCAGCATCTGTTAGTTGTTTCCATGCCTTATCAGACATTTCCAACAGTCCAGATTGCTTAATGAGCTAAGCAGTGAGCACTAACTGCACGTCCTGCAGTACCAAACCACCAGCAGCTCCATGGGAGCTTTCTATTCCCACAGAGTTGCAGTCTTGAAAGTACAAAGGGGCAGGTCTACCCTGTCCTACAGGGTCACTATATGTGCCCGAATCAACTCAATGGCAGTTACTTGGCTGGTTATCAGACATTTCCGTGTGTGTGTGTGTGTGTGTGTGTGTGTGTGTGTGTGTGTGTGTGT